TTTTTTTTTTAAAGATTTTATTTATTTATTTGACAGAGAGAGAGAGCACAAGCAGGGGGAGCGGGAAAGGGAGAAGCAGACTCCCCGCTGAGCAGGGAGCCTGATGCAGGGCTCAATCCCAGAACCCTGGGATCATGACCTGAGCCAAAGGCCGATGAGACGCTTTACTGACTGAGCCACCCAGGTGCTCCCAACTTTAGTACCGTAGTGAACATTTCTTCCCTCCCTCAGATTTCACCAGTGAAATGGTGATAGTGCATTGTTTCAGTTTGCACTTTGTTGATGACTAATGAGGTTTTATCTATTTAAAAATTTAGAATTTTTAGTTAGAAAAATGTAATTCTAAGAGATAGTAAAATACTTTTTATATTTAAGGAATGTGGAAACGAAGGATTAGTGGTTGATCCCTAAACCAAGTATTATATAATTAATGATAAGTGTAACTTACAAGAAAATTATTATGAGGTGTTCTCAGGATTAACTCTTTTGAGAGATATTTGGAAAAATTATGGACAAATTTAAACTTCATAAATTATAAAAACAGTTGATAATTCTAGAAGACTATACTATAGCAATTTCTCATGTCTTGTCAATAAGCCAAGTACATTTAAAGCTTTACTTTAAATGAGACCTTTTAAATTTTTACAGAGTTCTACAAAAATTATGTTAAATTTCATCCATTGTGCCATTGTGCTAGAACTAATTTTCTTTGAATTTGAACTTAGAGAAATGGGACGCCGGTCATCAGATACTGAAGAAGAAAGCAGAAGCAAGAGAAAAAAGAAACACCGTAGACGGTCATCTTCAAGTAGTTCTTCAGATAGTAGAACATATAGCCGAAAGAAAGGTGGAAGGAAATCAAGGTCAAAGTCAAGATCTTGGTCCAGAGATCTTCAGCCTCGCTCTCATTCATATGATAGAAGGTGATTTTCATAATTTTCACTTACATAGTAATGAGAGTAACATTCTTTGGAGTTCATATGTTTTTGTACTTTTAATTTTTCTGGGTAAAACATTTTTCTTTTAGTAGTTATATATTTATGAGGGTTAAGTCCCAACGTAAAAGTTTTGTTTGTTTGTTTTTAATTTTTACTTTCTCATTTGGGTATGTTATATTAGTTTCAGGTTTACAATTTAGCGATTTGACAAATTTATATATTATGCTATGTTCACAAGTATAGCTCCCATCTGTCCCATTACATTGCCATTACAGTATCATTGACTGTATTCCTTATGCTCTGCTTTTCGTTCCTACGTTTTACTCATTTCATGACTGGAGGCCTGTATCTCCCTTTCCCCTTCACCCATTTGGTACAGCCCCTCCCTCCCCAAAGGTTTTCCTTTTTGCCAGGCCCAATCCATGGGTCTAGTGTCTTCTTCCTTTGTCTATTCTTTGTAGGTGTAAACTGGTATAGTTCTCGTAACATATTATCTGATAAATTTTGGAAGGATTGTATACTACTGAGCACCCCTAATGTCTTTATTAGTAGCTGATCCAATCACTAAATTAGGAATCAGTCATCTGACTTCTCAACAGGAGTAACATTTTATCTCTCTTTGCTTCTAGGAAGGATTTAGAAATAGTAAAAATGAGATGATTCTTTAGAATCTAGATGATTTCTCTTTAATGGCTATAAAAAAATTTTTTTTTAAAGATTTTATTTATTTGAGAGAGAGTGAAACAGGGAGAACACGAGCAGGGTGAGGGGCAGAGGGAGAAGCAGATTCCCCGCTGAGCAAGGAGCCCAATGTGGGGCTTGATCCCAGGACCCTGAGATCATGACCTGAGCTGAAGGCAGACACATAACCGACTGAGCCACCCAGACGCCCGTAAAAAGTTTTTTTGTAGCAATGACACTTGATTATATTTTATTTCAGACGCAGGCATCGATCAAGCAGTAGCTCTTCTTATGGCTCTAGAAGAAAACGAAGTCGAAGTCGTTCAAGGGGTCGAGGGAAATCCTATAGAGTTCAGAGATCTAGGTCAAAAAGCAGAACAAGAAGGTATGCCATCTCAGATATTTATTGCTTTGTAACAGACTATTTCCAAACTTAGTGATCTAAAGCAACAATCACTTAAGTTCTCATGATTTTATGATTTTGACTGGGTTCAGCTGGCAGTTCTTTTGCTAGTCTCATCTGGGGTCACTCATCCTCATTGGCTTCTCATCCTCCAGTTAGGCCGGACTGGGCTTTTTCACCTGATGGAGGTAATTGTTGAGGAATGTAAGCAAAGAAGCTGTAAAACCTTTCAAGATCTTGCCTCGGTGTGTTATGGAATGAGTTTGTGTCCCCCATAAATTCGTATGTTGAAGTTCGAACCCCCAATGTAACAATATTTGAAGATAGGGTCGTTATTGGAGGTATTTAAGGTTAAGGTTAAATGAGGTCATAGGGTGGAGCGTTGATCCTCTAGGGCTGGTGGCCTTATAAGAAGAGGAAGAGAGAGACTTTCTCTCTATATGAGTATGCACTCAAAGGAAAGGCCATGTGAAGACACAGTGAAAGGGTGGATATTTACCATCTTTTCAACCAGGAAGGCAGCCCTTACCAGGAATCAAATCAGCTGGCATCTTCACTTTGGACTTACAGCCTCCAGAACCATGAGAAATACATTTCTGTTTTAGCTGTCCGGTCTGCAGTATTTTGTTATTGCAGCCAGAACAGACTAATACACAGACTAATACTCCACCTGTGTTTTTTTGCTGTGCTCAAGGGTCAATAATAGAGAAAATAGCCTATCTGGAGTCAGTTGTACATTTGGGCAATGGTAGAAAATTTGGTTGAATAGGATGGGGACTATGGTATTGATGGACTTGATAAAAGGAAGGCATTCAGAGATTATTGAAGGTTTTTGAGCAGAAGAATGTTAGGATGAAAAGCATTTTAGGCAGATCAGTTTCTTTTCTCTGCTTAGTTCTTCATACTATTAGGCTCTACTTGTGGGGGTATATTAGCAGCCTAGTTTTGTTATTTAGGGCACAAAATTTTATAAATCATTGTGTGAATCTGAAGTTGGATAATAGCAGTAAAGTTCAAATGTTTAGCGTTCTGGCCTTGTAAATAATATTTGGCCTCAGCCTCCTGTCGTTTGTCATACTCCATGGCTAAGCCACTCTGGTGTTACATGCCTTTTTTTTCCATTCAGGTCCCCAAGTTGCTAGCTTTGTTTCTTTGAGCATGCTCTTTCTTCCCCTTTCTTGCGGTATCTGCACTTTGTGAAGCCTTCCTATTCTTTAAAGTTTAGTTCTATTTAACCTTTAATTCTTTCTCAATCCTTTTTTGATTTTTCACTCCCAAGTCACATTTCATCCCTCCTTTTTTGACCCCCCCCATCAGATATGGTTCCTGATTTTTAACAGTTATATTTTGAATACTATGTTTTGTTATTCTCATATATTATAAGTTCTTGCAGGGGGATCCTCTTATTACCTAGCAAAATGCCTTGCCTGGTGAACATGCCTTGATTTGAGTGAATGTTTAATTGAGGAATGAAGTTAGGTAGAGCACTTGGTTTTGTAGCAAGAAAATGTTTTATTGTTCTATTGATTTGTAGAAGGAAAGCTTTATTTTGGATGTATTGATTTATCTAAAAAGAGGCTGATTACCAGAAAATAACTTAAATTAAAGTTTCCATCAGTGGGAACAAAAATAATAATTCATGCTTTTTATGGTGTTTTTTAGTTTATAAAGTATTTTCACATATACTCCCATATATTTTCACATGTATCAGTCATTTATAGTTTCATTCCAAGCATCAGGGTCTTAATGGAGGCAACTTTTGTAACCATTGCAAGGGCTCAGGGAATTAGGGAAGCTGTCACTGATTATTTTAACTCGAAGCATGGCAGCTGGTTGTTTGCTCAGAAGTCACTGGAAGTTTTAAGTACTCTCAGTTTGTAGCACTGAAGTGGGTGGTTCTCAAGATACTCACCTGGAAGCTGTTTTTCTGCCCAGTTATCTACTTACATCTGTCTCCAAAGGGAAATGTTAATTTCTTTTCCTTTGCAATGCAAAGAAGACCTTAAAAAGAGTAGCAGTGATGTCTAGTCAACCACAAACTATCTAGCACCTATGCATTTAGTAATTTGAGTTTTGTAACTCTGTCAAGATGTCATGTACAGGAATACCTTTATTTTGTATATTAGAAAACAAGTTCAGAGGTTTATTCAAAACAGCAACTTCTAATCAATCTCTTGCTTCGACACTTTGGCATTTAACTACAATAACTAATCTGGAGTCACTGAAAAGTCTTAAATTTTGAAAAAATACGTTATTCATGTCCTCTATATATTGTTTTGGAAAATATATTTTAGGAATTTATTCTTCAAAATGCTTGAACTAAATGAGTTTAATCTTGGTGTAACAAGAAAATTGAACAACTCATTCCTTGAGTTAACCAAGGCTATTATTTATTTATTTATTTATTTATTTAAGATTTTATTTATTGATTTGACAGAGAGAGACACAGCGGGAGAGGGCACAAGCAGGGGGAGTGGGAGAGGGAGAAAAGCAGGCTTCCCGCAGAGCAGGAAGCCCAAGGAGCAGGGAGCCCTATGTGGGGCTCGATCTCAGGACCCTGGGATCATGACCTGAGCCGAAGGCAGATGCTTAACAACTGAGCCACCCAGGCGCCCCAAGGCTGTCTAAACAGAGAAGATGAAAGTAGTGAGTTTTTCAAAGAAAAAAGTACTATATGATTCTAAATCTGAAGGTGTGTTGTTAATGATCTCTGCTTTTTAATAGAAATGAGTGATTTCAGTCGTGGTAAGTCAAAACTTCCAGAAAACTTGTTACATATGTAAAAAGTAGTTGAAAGATAAAGCATGTTCTGGGGGATGGCAGGAGGGAAGTCAAATGTGTGAAGTTTGCTGCAGTTTCCAGGGATAAGTTATAATTAGGTGATTACAATTTTTTAATACAATTTTAATATAATTTTTATGTTCTCAGAGTATTCAAGTTGTGATATATATCACTTCCTTTTGTGACAGTGAGGAATCTGCTCCTGTTATCCACAGTATATTTACTTATTTCTTCATTCTAGAGTACACTGAATAGTTTCAGAATTGCTGATATATACCCCTATAAAAAAACAAACACAAACAAGAGTCAGTAATTTTTTTTTTAAAGATTTATGTATTTATTTTTATATAGAGAGAAAGACAGAGAGCAAGAGCGTGTGCTCCCACAAGCCTGAAGGGCAGAGGGAGAAGGAGAGAGAGAATCTCAAGCAGACTCCCTGCTGAGCATGGAGCGCCCATCGGCTCTGCGCCGAAACCAAGAGTTGGATGTTTAACTGCGCCACCCAGGCGCCCCTAGAGTCAGTAATTTTTTATGCTTTTTATCTTTACTGTGGGGGTATATAGTTCTCTTCCTCACTTCATTATGGTTAGTTTCTTCGAAAAGTTAGGTTTGTTTGTTTTTGTTTATATTTCACCTTAACTTTTTTTATCCCCCTAAATTTAAAACTTTTATTTGTCCCCCCCTTTATTTTTTATTTTTAATTTTTTTAAGTTTATTTATTTATTTTTATTAATCTCTGTACCCAACATGGGGCTCGACCTCACCATCCTGAGACCAAGAGTTGCATGCTCTCCTGACTGAGCCAGCCAGGCACCCCTCCTCCCTTTATTTTAGTAGGTGGAACATTAATATGGTTCCAACAGACAGCACTATACTAGAAAGGTTTACCAGAGAAATAGCACTCCACTTTCTCCTTTTATCTTATTCCTAAGCACTCCATTGGTAACTAATCCTATTTGTGTTTTAGCTTTCCTCTGTTTGTTTTTAAACAAAGCAGTATTATATCCTTGGCATACTGTAGATATTCTTTTGTACTTTGCTCTTTTTCTTTACTAATATATCTTGGAAAGCATTCCATGTCCATTAATAGTAATCGTTCTCACTTTTTTTTTTAATGGCTGCTTAGTTTCTCCTTGTGTGGCTGTATCCTAATTAGTTTAGCCTTTCTCCTAGCTATGGACACTAAGGATACTTCCTATACTCTGTAGTTACTAAAAAGCTGCCATGGATAACCTTGTACATGAGTATTTTTGTATTGTTGGAGGTATCTTTTCAGGGTAAGCTCCTAGAAATAGGATTGCTATAGGAAAAGGTAAATAAATTTGTAGTTTTGTTAGAAATTGCCAAATTCCTTTTTTTTTTTTTAAAGATTTTATTCATTTGAGAGAGAGAGAATGAGAGAGAGAGAGCACGAGAGGGAAGAGGGTCAGAGGGAGAAGCAGACTCCCTGCTGAGCAGGGAGCCTGATGTGGGACTCGATCCCAGGACTCCAGGATCATGACCTGAGCCGAAGGCAGTTGCTTAACCAACTGAGCCACCCAGGCGCCCCAGGCCAAATTCCTATCAGTACTGTATGAGTCCTGTTTCCTCACAGCCTCATCAATAGAATGTTTTGTCCTATTTAAATGTTTGCCAATCTGATAGATGAAAAATGGTTTTGTAATGTAGTTTGGTTTTCATTTCTTTTTATCATAAGTGAGGTTGAACATCTTTTTATATGTTTGGGGGCCATTTTTCTGTCATTTTTGTGTGTGAATTTTCACTTCACATCTTTTGGGTTTTTGGTACTTTTTTTCTTTAATTTTTAAGAGTTACTAGGTAGATTAACCCTTTAGCTGTAATACAAATGGCAAATATTTTCTCTTAGTTTTTCAGTTGTCTTTTGTCTTTGTTCATGCTATTTTTTGGCTATGCACAAACTTTTTTATGTGGTCAAATTTATCACTCAATACATCTTTCCTTACATTCCTTACATTCCGAATATAGAGAAATTCTTCCCTTACACCCAGATAAAGAGGAATTCACTGATGTGTCTTTTTAGCATACCTGTTTATTTCATTTTTTTACATAATATGTCTTTCATATATGTGGATTTATTCTTGTCAATGATATGAGGTATGGATTATTGTTTTCCTTTTTCAGTTGGTTGTTTATCACATCACCATTTATTAAAAAAGTCCATCTTTGCCCCAGTGATTTAT